CCCCCCCCCCCCCCCCACACCCACACCAAGACGTACCATGTAGTTTCACATGAATCCAAAAATATAGAGACATGATATCAAATACCAAAGATATGAAAGTGATCTGCAATATGCAATAAGGGGTAAATCATGGCTGGTCCCTGCCTTTATCCTCGACCGAATCGTGTCCACCACACTTTGCGGCAATGTATTCCTGCTCGCAGAGACTTCGTAGCAGAATGTCATGGGGATGCACGACAACGGCACAATGCAAGTACGAGTGGTTTTGGCCGATTCGCAGCTAAGCAGCTAATCTGGCGACTCACCCGATTGAGACTTTGGGAAATCTTCGAGCGCTTCCAGGGTGCTTCGCTCAGGCCAGCACTTGCTGCTGGTAGTTGGCTGTGGCGAACACTGGCTCTTGTTTTGGCGAGGCTTGCGGTTGACCTCATATGTTGCAGGATTGTTTCGAGCTTTTAGTGCCCCGATGCCAGGAGATTTCTGAGAACTTTGCAAAGCAATCCAGCTTGAAGCAGTCATCTTCGACCTGTTCCACTATACTTCAACGTGGCGGTGCAAGGACAGGCAGCTTCTCGCCTTGCTCAAGCCAAGATCTTGGTTCAGCTTCTCCTTAAGTAGGCCATGGCGGCCCTCGAGAGATTCTGTGCCTCAGACGTCTGCAAAGTGTGAGTCCTGGGTGGCTATTCTGTTGCTAATACGTTGTCCTCAGCAGCCAAGAACCAAGCCGAGAAAGGACACAAGCTCGGCAATGTCGACGTTACCAGAAGCATTGGTGTCCAACCTTCGAGAGCAGTGTCGGAACGCTTCATCCATGAGCCGGCACGCACTTTCACCAATGCTTTTGTGGGCGAGGCGTAACACACAAAGAGGAGATCTGGTAGTCATTGAGGCTGGATGGCGGGATCCTGTCAGGATTTGCGCCGAGTGCTCTCAAAGCGATCTGCTGCCTACAAACGGGCATGTTCTTGATCCGACGTGTAGTCACTGATCACATGCGCCAAAACACCAAGAGAACTCAACCCGTGCACACCCAGCCAGCAAGAGGAAGCTGTGAATCACAGGACACCAAGGATCTCAGGTCTAAGTCTCTGCAGGTGTTGCAACTGTAGCAAGTTAAAAAGGTTCTCGAATCGGAGAAGCCTACTGAACAAGCTGCCTGCAAAGATTAATGCCTCTATCTACAAGATTCTACAAGCTGAAAGCAGTCCACAAAGAACAGGAGGATCTGCTCAAGGACAACGAGTGAGCTTAATCTCCAAGCTTGGGATGGTCTGGGGGCTGGGAAGCATGCCGTGCCTCAGGATTCGACGCAAGGCACCTCTCACCTCGTCGAAGCAAAGCGTGCCAGAGCCATCCTGCATCCAGAATCTTGAGCACAGGAAAGCGACAGCAATTATACAACAACACTCAACCTCTGATGCAATTGCTGCAGTGCCGCTGCAGGCCGCATCCTTGTCAAAGCGCTTGAAAATGACATCATAGCCCTGCTTCGGTCCTGTCGTGATCATGGTGATTGAAGAAATCAGAGATCACAGAAGGTCACACCGTATCCGCATCGGAAAGCCGGTCCAACGCACGCAGCAGACTTGATCCTTGAGCGAATCCTTGTGACATGCAGGGCTTCACCTCAGGATCCTGCATATGTTAAGTGCAGCTTTGCACTGCGGCCGAGCATCAGAGCGAGGGACTCTTTCGATAAGTGGCCAGCCACCGGTGCCTGCCAGCAAAGAAGAGCTCTTTGCACCGCGATCGATGTCAGCCCTGGAAGTCTCCTTGCATTCCGAAGCCTGCGGCCCAAAAAGCACATGACCGGCACTGGGCCATCGGCGCGAGATGCTGTATTCGATCTCGACGCTGAAACGGACGACTTGCTTGCGTCCTTCTGCGCCAGTGTCTCGACATCAATGCTTCAGTGGGCCCAGCTCGTTCAAAGTTCAAGAACCACTTAAGGGCATCGGGTTCCTTGTTGCAGGCGATCTTGGAGCACTGCCTGTCAGGTGCACCCTGTCCAAGTCTCCGCTCAGGAATTAAGCGGCGCTCAGGTCTGCACATGTCGATGTTCCAAGACGCCTTAGTCGCAATCTGAATCTCCCGGCTCCGCCTGCAGAGACAGAAGTTGCGAACAAGAGCCAAGAGGCTGTGACGGCTGCCAGGTGCATCTGCAGTCGATCGCTCGAATTGCGCAGTTGGGACCTTTGCCGCTTGCATGATCTTGCAAGGCTGCCAGCTCATGTTCGCACGACGAGGCGAGATGCAGCAACTCTCGCATCTTCTCGCACTTGCTGCTCAGGACATGCACCTGACTCAGATCTATGTAGTAACTGTGCCATGATCTGCTGCTCCACTTTCACGAATCACAACACTGTGACCATCTTACTTGCGTTTTCCAGGATGTCCGCCCAAGACAGGCACGTTGCTCTTCGCATTGTGCATCTGCTCCTTCAGAGCTCTGCCGAAGCATGCTGATGCTGCCTCTAGGGCCGCTAGGGGAGAGAGGGCCGGTGCCCTCTTGGTTACGCTGGGTCCTGCATTCGGTCGGAGGCGCTGAGGCGCATGTCCTGACATGCCACTATCTTCTGTGATCCACAAACAAGGAACCTTCAACTTCCTGACCAGGTCCTGCTGCACTGCAAGCGGCAGGCGCTGATCGAACCTGAGCTGCAAGGCCGCAAGACAACATGTTCGAGATGGCAAGCCACACGTGGATATCACAAGAAGAGATGTGCCTTTCAAGCGGAATTTCCTGGCTCTGTTCCCACTGCTCCAGGGACCTGTCTGTGCGTTCGTTCAGACAGAGGTTAAATTGCGAAGTGGTGTCTGACACGAGAACGGGCGAAGTTGCGTAATATCTAAGAGTGGAGCGTTCTCTGACCTTTGATCTCCTTCTGCATGTGCTGAAGGAGTGCCTCTGTGCGGTTGATATCCAGCTGGCCTCGGCGTAGGGCATTGATCTGACGACCATACTGGACAACACTTCACGGAATTGTTGGCCAAGAATGGCTTCTATTGTCGAGGCCTTGCGCAACACTTTCCTCCAGTTCACGCTTTTGCTGAGAGAGGTTGAAGATGCTTGCCTGCATACCTGGCAAGCTTGCGACAAAAAACACCAACTTCTTCATGACAATTCCGCAGGGGAGCATGACTGACAAGCTTCTCGAGCGGTCCTGACCTGTTGAAAGCAGGCAGGCACTGCTTCCGCATTACAGCGTCCAGCTGCCTGTTGCTTCACCCGCACAGATAGCTCGCCCTTGGCTAGCCAAACTGGCGACGTGGCATGCGCTGATGAGTGTTTGACTGAGGCTTCGACTGCATCGTCTAGGAATTTGGCCGCGTCTCTCTCCAGCTGCTGAGTCCTCTGGCAAACTTGAGCCTTCCACCAAAGCATTGCTCCTGGAAGCGGCCTTTCCAACAATTCGTTGGTGTGCTTCACCTCAAGTGCGCATCAGGAGTACATCAGCCCTCGGCAGGTCAGCAGTAGTCAAGCAGCAGATCTGTGAATGTTCTCACTGGTCTCCTCGCCTTGGGCTGCAGCTGAAAGTCAGCAAGTAGTCTTGGCGATCAAACCCTGAGGCTCTCACTCCAGGTCTCCTCTTTGTCTAAGCTTTTGTGGGTGGTACCAAACTTGAAAGGTGTCATGTCGTAGCCCGACTGCCTGGCCGAAGAGCCGAGGAAACAAGATAGCCTTGCTTCCTGCCCATCTTGTGCCAGCAAGAGGCACAGCGCCATCAGCTGAAGTGGCGCTGTTCTGCCTCAGAGGAGTGCCCGTCAGTCAGAATGCCCTGCCGCATCTGAGAGAGTGATGCCGAGTTCTTCTGCAAACCTCGACTTTTCAATGCCCTGATGCAGACTTTGTGCGAGGTTGGGTTAACTCTTTGCCCAACTTGTCAGATTCATTGGCTTACTTAGATGTGGCAGCAGAGCAAATGGCTGAGATTTCTCGCCGGAGCGGTCGGTACTGCTCAGGTCAGGTGGAAGCTTCCTCCCATAACCATTCTATCAGGAGTGCAACTGTGGGGCTGCGTCCGTGAATGTCGTAGCATCAGGCGGAATACCGCTTGATGCGGGCCCATTCTGCTGGAAGGGGTTTGCATCATGGCCCAAGACCAGATGCGATGAAGCTCGCTGCTGCCGCTGACTTTGAGTCGGCTCCCACAAGCTCTGTGACTGCGAGGGCTTGCTTCGCAAACCGATGCTTGGACCGCGAGCTGCTACAGACGCAAGACTGGCGGATGTGCTGGTCGAGATCAGTCTCGGACTCGCCGGCACCAGGATACCACTGGGTATGCCAGTGCTGCCAGGGAGAAGCGGGCTTGACGAGTCTTTAGGTTGCAAAGGCCTTTCACGCGACACCCTGGGCGTCACGATGGTCGAGCCCGAGGCATCCTTTTGCAGTATCGTGCGGCCACGGGGCATCGCAGCAACTGTTGTTGTCTGCAGCACGCCCGGCATGTAGACTCTTCGAGATGACTGAGGATGCTCTTCCAGTACATCTTCGCTGCCTAAAAGCAGGGTGTCAAGCATCTAAAATGGACTTTTGCATGGGAGATGCTGATGCTTCGTGATGTTTCAGGCCTTCTCCAGTGCGATCCGCCACCACAGCCACAGCCCGCTCAATCAAAGCTCCGCTCAATTCCTCCCCACGCTCGGCAGCCAAAGCGTTCCCGAGCAGCAGGCAACCTTCCATACAGGCATGACGGACGTGCTCTGCTGCTGTTTTGACGGGCTCGTTCAGTCTTGGCACGAGTCACAGTTTGGCATGTTTGGGAGTTTTGGCAGGTGAACAGCCACCAACAGACATTCATTGCACGTGCACCCTTTCTTTGTCGCTCAAGCTACGTCTGTCTCTCTACGATCTCTCTTTGCTTTGCTGTGGGGGATGGGGCACAGGCAGTCCCTGTACCCTGCGCGCCTGCGCGTTTGCGCACCCCCATCGCCGATGATTTTTTTTCCCACCCGCCCAGCAGAGGAGGGGCTCAGCAGTGAAAAATTGGGAACCGCTATGGAGTGGTCCCAGTGTGAGGGGTTTGTATGCTGGCAACGGCGGATGGCCCGAAATCGGCAGGAAAATTGTATTGGCAACACACCGGTCAGGAGGGACAAACGTACTGTAATCATCGGCTCTGCAGGCCTGTGGCCTGCCGCAGGCACACCACTCCGTCGGTCGTAACGGCTTTTTGAGGTCAGTTTAGACTGCAGCGGTCAGTCCAGAACGTTTCGTTTGGGTCAATTTTGGATGGCTCGCGGCTCGGAGTTGCCCAGTCGGGTGTGCGCCTTAGCGGTTGGTTCTGCTCGTCTGCGCTGGCTCTTGTCAACTCTGATTGGCCGTTTTCACGACCCTTGGTGCCATGTCTGTGCCCGCATCTGCTGGGTCCTTGTTCCGGTGTCCTACTGGTGCTCGGCGTTCTCGGCGTGGTGGTTGCTGGTTCTGCAGCCTTAGTGTGATGATTCGTCAGACAATGGAGCCGCTGCCTGAGCACATGATAGAGGCGATCACGGAAGTGAAGACTGATGGTGTCCAAACGACACTGGTTTCACACCTGCAAGGTGCCCGGAGAGCCGAGATGATCTGCGGCGACTGGCCGAAGGAGAAAGCTTTGTTCGCCCTGCGACTGAGACTGCAGACCCACCGACTGGTGGAAGTGAAGCCCTCCCTGGCACTGCTGCGATTGATGCCGCAGGTACTATGCCGAACGAGCCGGCATCTTCGAGTGATGCCCCGAATGCTGTGCCTTGGATGAGACAATGGTGCAGCACAAGCTTAGCAGGAATGGCCCTGTGCAGAGCCCTCACGAAAATGGACTGTGGACCTGAGGTCACCCGTGGCTGACCTGGACAAATACATCACGACTGTGGTCAAGAATGATCGTGAGAGAGCGGTTGACCGGGCGAATGATTTCGCTGAACGACTGCTCCGAGCCCAGATCGGATTGGCGGATGCAATGTACCGCTGCGAGTGGGATGAGACAACTGCTCCAATGTTGTCTGTGCTACTGCTGGGAACCCGCGCAGGCGGATTGCAGACTTGACCACCCGACTAGCACAGCAATGGTCCAATGAGTTCATGCGAAGGAGAAGGCGACCGACCTGTTGGTGAATGTCTTGGACTGTCAATGTCTGGCTGGATTTGCGCCGCTTTCCGTGCCATCAGCTGAATGGCTCGTTCAATGCCCTGCCGGCACTGAGGAAGACTGTGCAATGGGCGAACCAAGAGGTGTTCGTGCCGTGCTGGACCCTTTGCAAGCGCACAACGGCTTTAAATGGGCATCGTGCGAATGTTCATGACTGATGCAATGTGCCAGCCCAGCCCGGGAATTCTTCTCAGCATGAACGAGATCATCGAGCGGGCAATGTGGGCCACCACCAACGGCCAAACTTTTGTGGAATGGCGCCTGATGGGGCACACTTTGGTGCCACTGAGCCGGGCGATTGGAGGTGGACTGATGCATGATTGCTCCACCTGGGATGAGATCTGCGAGGGCGAAGAGAAAGTGGCAGCCAATGCTTGGAATGCTCCGGCCCAGGCCAAGGGCTCGAATGATCGCACTGCCGCCATTGCCCAGACTGCCAATGCTCTCGAACCCGGTGCTGAGATTGTCCTGCGGAAGAATGCCAAGGGCACCGCCAAGTGATCGCACTGAGCTGGCGATGAACTAAGAAGTGCCCTGCGACTGCAACTGTTTTGCAATGAGAAGTTTATGCTGAAATGTCGAAAGGATTTCTTCAGAGAATGAAGTTCTCGGATTCAATAAGAATGGACCTGAGCTGAATCTTTGCGAGGTTGCTTTTTGCATTGCTTTTTGTAGTGCAAACTGGCCTCCGAGTGCTTCCAGCAATGCCTCGAATGTCATCCCGAGTCGAGCCAGAATGTCCAGAATGAGGCCAATGCCCCCTCGCAGCTTTGATTGCTACTGTTTCGATTGTTTCTTGATCGCTTCGCGAATGCTGCCGTGTAGTTGTGTACGCTGTAAATGTTTGAATGATCCTCGACTAAAGTTAGGATCAATGGACTGTGTTAAATGTAACCAGCCCCATGTGCACCCGAATGTGCAGGATGCATTTGTGAATGCTATACTATAATGCCGAATGGCATTTGGCTCAGGTTGGTTGAGACTGTCTGGATTGTAGCTTTGAGTTTTGCACTCGCTCTCCGTCCTCCCGGCGTCAGGTTCAACAAACTGCATAACCACACGTGAACAAATCTTAGCTTCATGCCGAAGTGACTTTTGATCTGCCTGCCATTGAGCACATGGCGTGCAAGCTTGGAGGGGTCTGCTTCGGAATGTGGAAGTTTCCTCAGCAATGATCTGCGGCTGCACGACAATCTCTCTGCTGACTCGCAGGCTTCTGATTCTTCCAATGCCATGTGGCTGAAGGAGGTTCCGCCAAACGGCCTCGCGACCTTTCTGACTCAATGCCTCGTAGTGAAGTGCCACAGTGATGCGGGACCTGACCTGGGCAGATTGTGTGGTCTGTCACCCACGAATGCTTGCGAATGCTTCGTCAGACAATGTCAGGCACCCTGCTGCAGGATCGATGTTGCTGGCCCTGTTTGAGGTCAGGAAGAGGATTCCTGACCAGGGCGGCCGAAGGGCAGAGGTGCTTTACAGATATATCCATCTGTCCAGCAAACGGAGAGTCCTGATATCTAGCATTGCTCGCGTTGACATTGCTTGACTAGCCTTTTTTGCATTTCCTTTACAGATTGATTCTCGCTGATTATCGCCCCCTTAGCGTGTCAGTTAGCCTTCAACGCCCGTTTGCATCCGTCAGAGACATGTGGCATTCAATCCAAAGCTTCCGCCCACCGCTGAAAAGGGATGATGGTAGAAACTTAGACGGAGACTGTTGATTTTAGAAGTCGTGTCTTGTGCGCACCGAGCGAGCACACGGGAAAGAACGACCAATGGCAATGTCAATCTCGACGAATTCCCTCAATGTCTAGCAAAGTCCCCGCTTAGCCGGCTCCCTGTCCTTGGTGATACTCCAGCAGCCGCAGCATGACGCAAACCAGCGCGTTCCGCTGCAGTTCAGAGGAGCTCCTGGCTTCAAGGAAGATGTCCTGAGCTCCGCAGGAGATCCGACAGATTGCACAGTTCCCAACAACCAGAAGGTCAAGGGATTTTATTGGAGGTCGCCACTGCGACTGGCAACCAACCGACAGGGACGAGCAGCACTTTCGTCAATGAGTGTGAGGGCATTCCATTCACTGCACAGGTGCAGCACCTTCCAGAAGCATATCTGCTTCGAATGGTCAGGCATCTAGCGTTGTGTTCTTTCTCCGCAAAAAAACTATCCAATCGCTGCACCTGCGACAAGTTCTGCTCAACTTCCTGGGCGTTGATGCCCAAATCACCAGCTGTAACTACCTGAGTCTGAATGAAGTATTCGAGCGTTCCGACTGTACAGATCGCAAATGACACTTGCCGCAGGAGGCACATAGAGCGGCATGTGAAGCATCTCAGCGATGGCTTCAGCCGTGAGTGTCTTGCCACAGCCAGGTGGGCCATACAGCAAAAATATAGTGTTGTCTCCCTGGCATGCAACGAGTCAGCCATCAAAATAAACTTGATACACTCGTCTTCGAAATGTGTGTCGCAGTTGATTGAGGCCCCTTGGAAACTGGGCCCGCTCGGGCCTCCAACCGAGTTTCCCAAACCAGGCTCGACTTTTTCGTAAGCACCATACAAGAAGAGCCGAGCTAGACTTGCTCCCTGAGAGCTTTGGTTCTGAACTCTAACCGAAACCCTTACTCGTAGTAGGGGCCCAACACACGAGCACGGGAATGTGACTTGCATGCTGTATCTGCGCTCTTGCTGGGGGTGAAGCCTGATCACTCTCTGCACACGTGCTCCGTGGACATGTGCCAAATTATGACAGAGTTTAGTCGTCTGCTACAAGCACTTGTTGGTGCGATGGTTCGGAAGTCGACAGGCAAACCCACAGCGCAAAGTAATTACGGGACCGTTGTTTTCCTAGCGTAGATTATGAAAATGACTCTAACATCAAAGCCGGGGTCAAAGCTTCAGAAACGATCCGGATGAAGAGTGAACTGTACTGCATGCAAGCCAGATGTCCATGCATCCCTGAGAGAGCAACATGTAGATTCAACAGTACCATTTGGAACTAACTGCTGCCAGCGCCTTGCCCTCAATGAAGTCCAGGCCGCTTGTGCCGGCATGCCGCACAGCAGACCTGAGTATGCAGCTTTTGAGATGCTCAAATCCTGCGAAGTTCCTGCAAGCAGCTGGAATCGCTAGACCCGTGGCTCGTTCACGGTGGCCTTCAAGCCTTCAAGCTACATGCAGCCCCGACCCAAGAGTCTGACCGGATGATCTCCTTCGTGCCATCAGGTAGAACAAGCTGCTGGAATGCATCTGCCCGGAATTGAATTGGGGAGGTATCTGCCACCAATACCTGGCCCCAGCACTTTGCAGTGAAGGAAAACCCCACCATGGCTGGCCAGGCCATCCACAGCTCCGAATCCTGAGGATCCTGAACCAAGCGCAGGGTTTCAGTGCCGTGCTTCTGCTGCAGCTTGAAGGTTCGCAGCGCTTGCTGGAGAGCCACAGAGCAGTTGTCTCCACCACGAGCAGCATGATGGCCATACTCGTGGCCGCGCTGTGTGTCTAGCATGACACGGCCCCCTGAGAGGGTGGCATGCTTCGCACGCCCATGCGCGAAGAAGGAGCCGCGCGAATACTGCACATACGGTGAGCTCATCGCTGCATCTCTGTACTTCTTTCCGCGCTGATGCAGCTTCTCCAGCATCTGTGATGAAATTGCTACATAGAACAAAGAATCCAACCTTCGGACGCCCTTGTATGCAGACATGACCTCTTGAAAGTTGACGAGCGCGAAGCTGGATCCTAAGTATGCCAAGAATTCTAGCTCCATGTGGAAAGACTTCTCCGGTCCAAAGAGAGTTTGCTGCTGTTGGTACCAGCTCTGCAATACCGTCATACCAACTGGTTCGCTCAAACCCTCCACTTGCATGAAGACCTGCGACGAAGATTTCGCTTCCAACTCAAAGCAACAAACTCAACGATGTTTTCTCTCATATGCTGGCCTTCTTTCCCGGGGTGAAGACCTCAGCCAGGGCGGTGAATTGCACGTGACCTCGGCGCTGGCAGAGCCGGCTGCAGGGTTGAATTCGACGAACACAATATAAAAGAACGCAGCGATAAAGTTCTTTCTATAACTGCTGCCGCCACGCCCGAGCCGATCTCTTCCCTCAGACTTTCCAAATCCTCGATCTCGCCTTCCACGGTTTGAATCAGCTCATCCAAACCAGGCAAATTGACTGGGCGTTCTCCGGCTTGAACGCCTGCTGCACTCTCCATGACGTGCTACATCGTACATGATTTGGTGACTAGCAACTTCAGCTCAGGCCCCCACCACAAGAGGAGCAGAATTCCAAGAAGCGCCTGCGGCTTTGAATAGTTTGCGATCTGCCAGATCTTCGGCTACATCCGACCCCACGCTCGAGGTTGCGGCCAAAGTGCTGCGCATCTGCTGGACGAGTGGCGGCATTGTAGTTGTCACACTCGAACCGCAAGGCGCGAAGGCGTCCCAAATACCGCACGGCTTGATCGACACGGACCCCCTTCGGGCACATGCGGTGCTTAACACGTGCTAACCGCTGCTAACCTGCGCATGCACTAAGTCTGGGTCTGCTGCACAGAGACCAGAGAGGACATGACCGTCATGATGCCATTATCGTGACCATTAAGTTTGCTGGTAGATGAACGAATCTTTTCTAGATGGCCTTTTCCCCTCGTCCGCTGTCAGTAAGTTGACGGACCAGGAAAGGTAGCTGAGACCCGCTGCTGGTTGTGAACTTGATCACCTGATTTTGCAGAGCATAAGGCTCTTTTCTTCGGATGCCAGCACAACCACCTGCATGGCACCTTAACTCCCCTGCTTCGTGTCATACTGTACCTGTCGCAACCGAGGGAACCTGACTTCCTTTGGCCAGTTGCCTGGATGCGCCTTCCCCTACCGGGTTCTTCAAGATTCTAGACCTGCGAATGCTCTTCAAAATCTGCCACGACGCACCGCCCTTCTCCGAGTTTGGCGGGCGCTCCAATTGGAAGGGTGGTGCCAAGTCCACCTGGATAACGACTCCATACATGCAGTAATGATGCTGAAGCTATGACTGTTGCTAGTGAAGTAGAATGTTCGATGAATCAGCTGAGCCGCTGAGATTGCTTTGGGCTCCTGTTGCTTCGCCTCTGGTTTCCTGGTAAACGTTGGCAAAGGCGGGCCTTTGCTCTTGCCTGTCGCACACTCGACATGACATGGTTAAATTGATGGCGGGCCCTTCTGCAGCCTTGCCTTTGCCCGTCGCAGCACCGCTGACGGCAACCTCAAAGCATCAGACTCTCCGCAAGCAGAGCAAGGCTTCTTTGAGCAAAGTCTTGGATGCCTCGGCAGTCGTTTCTGGGGAATTGCTGGCTTCTTGACAATCCTGTGTCTCCATGGGCTTCCCGGCACGTGCTCTGTGAGCTGCAGAACGAGGATCGCTTGGTGTAGTCTGGAGGAAGTGATATCTGATATGCAACCGCATGGCAGCCAAAAATCTGTTAGACTCGATCACATCTCACTTATCTAAGGAATCTAAGCGCAGCCGCTTGGCTTGATCCCCAAATCACACGCCAGCTTGAACACATAAGGTTCGGCTCGTGCACCAGAACTCCATGCCTGATGCTGAGAGGACACATGGAGGGTCACCAGGCTTCGGGCTTCCCAGCCTTTGCCTTTTCGGCCACCATTGGCCTGCTCATGCGGTCATGCCGCTTAACACGGGGTGGTTCGTGCAGCGCAGGGCTGGGCGCGCTACAGCACGCAGGCCCGATCTCGTCCGTGATAGGGGTCGAATTGCAGTGCCGATTTCTCCAAACCTCGACACGCGGTACCAGGGAGCTGAGTGAAACCCGGGAAACGGATCCGATTGCAACAAGAGCGCATGCTGACAAAGTAGATGAAGGACATCTCGTCTACAGGCCAAACACAAGTAAAGTAGGTCAGCAAATGATCCCCAACTACGGAAGCTGACTTGATGTGGCATCTGCCACAGGGTGCCTTCGATGTACGAAATGAACTGAGATCTGTCCGCAGCGTTACGGGTCACTTCGGGCTTCCACGGGCTCAGGCGCAATGCGTGCTTCTTGAACTGCATGTCCGCCACCAGTTCGTCTTTTGCGGCCTAACGCTGACAACTACGACAGACCAGCTCTCCAACAGACGGATGTGTGTCGTATCGAAACAGGTTGTGAGGCACGGAATGAGCCGATGGTCGCACCATCAGAGTGTCTTGCAACTTCTCGCCGGCATCAATGTAGCTACCTTTGCAGTGCATGCTTCGCTCCAAAGTGAAACACCTTTCCTACGGTCCTAAGCCTACTCTGCCGCGGAGGACCAGGCCAAGGTGTCTGCTGCTGGATGAGAGAACGCGCCTTGGGTAGTCCAGTGGCCTGGCCCTCTCCGGCCAGCATCCACACGCCCCAAAGAGCCCAGAAAGGGAAGCTGGGGCGAGGACTCTTCCCGCTCCAAGGCCAGCTGGAAGTCATCCTAAGAGAAGTTGCACCGACGCAGCGACGGCGAAAGCGATTGGCCGTGCCTCAACGTCCTCCTCTTCCGGCCGCTGGCTCCGAAGAAGCAGCCTCTGAAAAGTCTCAGCCGAGATCTGCGGCTCTGCGGCTCTTGGCTGCGCCTCCTGTCACAGATCTCCCTGGGAACTCTCAACCTTCGGACTTCGGCGGACTTCGCGAGTCCGAGTGCCAGAAGAGCGGAATCCTGGGATCCAGGCAACTCCTGCTCTCGGGTGAGCAGAAATAAGGACTGGTTCACCTGTGAAAGCCAGAGATGACAGAGGTTTCATGGCGCAGCGTAAGCGGCCAAAGAGTCCGAGGCCCGGGCTCTTCGAATCAGCAGCTCCGTTCCTATGCAAAGAGAGCAGGGCTGTCCAAGGGCAACAGTGCTGTGTAAGAAGGCTACTTTCACACCTCTGCCAGTCTTTGGGGATATGTCAAACCATCACACTGGGACGGGCAGTGGAGGTCACTTCGCCGATCAAAACAGGCCACGCCTGATCCGCCAGAACGTTCCCATGAATTCTCTGCAGTGAGAGCCCCCCACCAAAACGACGGTCTAGCGACTAGTGAGTCCACTTGCGCACCGGAATCACTACGTCGAATGGCAGTCCTTCCACACGCTGCATCAGCAGACGAGCGAGGTGCTCTGAGGCAAGGACCTGCAAACAAAAGAACCCCAAGCCAAGCTGAGGACGAGCTCGTCTTAAGCCAAGCCATGCGCCCTCTTCTGCAACTTCTGGGCGACTCCAGTACCTTTCATTTCAAGACATGTTCATGCTCACGGCTCTGCCGATTCCGATGATCTCTCAGCTCACCAGCCCAGTCTTTGGTGGCTGGCTTCGGCTTCGCCTAGCGGACTACTTGCCTTCTATGCCCCAGAACATGGAGCAGGCGTCTACGTGCAGACACTTCGGCTGATGCGGCAGCAAGTATCGCAAGGAAAGGTAACTATGTTTGCGCAATCAGCCTGGAATTGTTGCTCCACGGCCTTGCGCAGCGTTCTTGCCTAACAGCTTGTGAAACACGTCAGCGAGGGGCGAACTCATGCAGAAAACATGCAATCTTCTGCAGCTGATCCTCAGGCAAGAGGCAGTATTCAATTGCTCCTTGAGCTGTGAGTCACGCCACCTGAGGACAGCAAGGAGAAGTGCCGACAAAAGGGGGATAAGCTTCAAAGCCAACCTGGGATCTCGGGGTGAGCACCTCAAGCCGGCAACAGGCAGATTCAGGCTGCAGTCCGAAGGAAAGATGAAAACAAAAATTGCAGGAGCATCAACAGAGGTACTACCACCAGCACCACCACCTCCGATCTTGGGCACTCTCTTGTGCTGGGAGGAAGACAAGTTGACACCAATGTCGAAAAGCTTCGTTGTTGCTTGTTGGGCTTTGTCCTAACCTACCATCTTTCAGACGCATCCAAACGACCCTCAAACCAACACCATGTCAAACTTCGTCTCGGCTCCATGCCCTTGAGATGAGCTCATGCCAGTACTCCTTGAGGAGAGATGACGGCCAAAGTGTCAGATGCATTACTTTGCCACGTTCCCCTTTTTAAAACTCGGGAGCGCTGCCGGCTTGCCGGCACGGGTGCACCAGAAAAGTTCATTATCTAGCTATCACCTCTTGCTGCTTGGCAGCAGGGAGATGTTCGAGCTAAAACAGTTAATTCATGGATGTCGAGTGTGGTAACTGTAGTCTCTTCGTGGCCTGAAGCAACTGTTGATGGTGCTGGGTGTGTTGAAGCTAGGACCCGTTACATTCTGAAACATGCTTTGTACTAGGATGCAGCCTAGCATTCCTCATGCACCACTCCCTGGCGAAACGGGAGCGCAGCAAACACAATAAATCTGCAGTGTCCATGTTTGTAAAAAATGCGCTTGCAGGCCTGTAGGGTGCCATCCCCACCTCCGAGGTGTTGGACACAGACACAAGGTAGGCGAAATACGCTTCTCCGCGCAATTTCACCCGAACCTGTGAGCTTGAAGACTATTCCACTGAACCTTCACGGATGGAGGCTCCATCAATGCGCTAGACATGGCATGGGCACAGCTCTGGCCTTCCCGGCAGCGCCACAAGAGGCTCCTGCAGGCTGCCCCCCGCGTGCCAGTAAGCCTACTTGCTCCAGCAATGCTATGTGAACCACCGTGGTGTCAGTGAGCGCTAGCCTGACAAACTTGCTACCTTCAGGACTCAGAGAACGCATTGTAGGTTATAGCCAGGCAGGAGGCAAAAAGGAGAAAGGCCGCTTTGCTTGACATAACATCTTGCCTATCTTGCGTGACACGCCAGCTGTGGTTGCACACCCCTACTAAAATATTTCGCCTTGCATCGCGAGCATGCAGGCGCCCACTTCCGCAGGAAGGCTAGGTGGCATTCCTGCACTGCACACATTTCCCATTGAGGCGACTTGAAAGCTTCCGGATTCCAGTTTCCTGCCTCGTGGACAGGCCCGCTGCCTCGACCATTCAGCTTGACTGCGCTGCTCACGTTCCTTCTGTCCGCTCCGGGCATCGCACCATGCGTCCCAAAATGTGCATCCTGACGAATGCAAAGGAGAATGCTTGTGCTGCTGAGACGACATCAAAACTGCGCCCAGCCTTGTAATTGAAATGCTTCCCACTGAACTGGCCGGCCAACTGCATCACCGGCCTGCGACTGTTGCTTGCGGTGCACATGCTCTCACCGCGCCGTGCTTGTCCTCCCCTCATACCCGGGGGCATCGTTCATCTTCACCGTCTGAGACCCGTGCAGGCCGCACTGTAGGCAAATCCTCGGATTTCTGGGAAATCTATCTGCAATTCGATGCTACACAAAGGCGCAGGTGGTAAGCTGCTGGGCTTGGCAAACTTCTTCTGAAACTCCTCGTGGCACTCTGCGTGGACCTGGCCTTAGTAAACGGTATAGCTATCAGGAGCGAATCTGCCCACATGGTCTACGACATGGCATCAATGAGGCCCCAGAGTAAACAGCAAAATCAGACCAAACGAGTGTGGAGTTTCTTGGCAGCTGCAAGGCCCACAGCCATGCTCCCTGGCTTAACTCTCGGGCTGCGTTCTGTTGATTTATTCCTGGCTACGTCAGTGAGAATGTCGAGACAGCAAAACAGAGCAAAACAGGAAAGTCACAGCCCGTGATCATGCAGTACTGAACAGCAAGCACGAGGAGACCGCATTACACTTTGGAAAAAGCCGAGCATCGACTCGACGCGGAGGGGCCTTGCTGGCCCCCATTGGCTGGAGTAGCATGGTAAGTGCATGGCGATATACCGTAAGGCGGCAGAATGCATGGTTCCCAGCAGACAGCTATTCAGTTTTGTTCACTCCTGCATGGAGGTCGAAGAAGATGTAACAAGAAACACAGAAATCACAAGCCTGTGCGAGTTCTTCGAGTGGTAGAATGCAATGGACGCAATGCTTCCCGGACTTGTCCCGAACAAGAGACACAACACAACATCGAAGCCTGTAGGAGGAACATATGCTAGAATCTTGCGACCAGGACTTTCCTTATGTATCTTGTCCCACGCGACCCACGAACGGAAGATCAAACAGAAGGAGTGAAGCAGCAGGGTTTTGGGTGACCACTGCTTCAACGACTTTGAATATGGACCTGCGGTAAGTCCAGAAAAGACTGTGTCTACAATGTTCCAGATGTGAATGGCCTTCACCTTTAGGAAAGCTCTGTCTTGCGTGAACTGCCAGCACCAGCCTGCTGCATGATTGCCAAGCTGGTTCTCGTTGTAAGCAAAGAACTGTCCTCCCGAACGTGCATGATTGACTATGAATTCCAACATGAAGGCCTCGGTTCACCTCTGCAAACTCAAAGCTACAGCTGGGCCTGAAAATCGGCCGGGCATGCGCGCGATAGCTTCTGAACATTGCAAACATCTTGGCGCAACTCGCCTGGGCATGAGCTTATAAGGCAAATACCACATGGCGGCTACGTTGTCGGCATTGAGGGCATCGCATCAAGAACTTTTCGAAGCACTCCTGCAATCGGACACTAACTATGTCGGCAGTTGCGAATAGAATGCAAGTAGCTCCTCATGTACAGTGGCTGGCCCTCCCGGATCGCTCGGGCTAAGCACTCTGTAAGCTCCAGAGAAGCGGCCCGGCCTTGCGTTCACAGTGTACACAGCACAAAAAGTATCCATCAGTCTCCGAAACGAGAATGGAAATGAACTCGAAGAAGCACAGGTACTGTGTTTGGTGTTTGGCACACTAGCTGAGAAGTTCGCACTCTGGTGCCGACTGGAGCACCACATTCTGAGCCTGTCTCCACCGTCAAGAAGAATGACCAACATGCTCGCCAGTCATTGCAGGCTGGTCGCATGGGTCTGCTGTTGCTTGCCAGGAGTAGTTTGCCGAGAAGGACTTTGAAGGATCAAGCCACGAAACGACTGTGAGCTGACCTCAGGTGCCACAAGGCACGAGGCGATTGAAGCCATGTCGTGGCTGAGTGCGTGGGAGGTGCGCTGTCCTGGCTTCAGGTCCACAAGCTGCGTATGTTGCTCTTCACCAGCCGCTGCAATGCTTCCCTCACAGCTTGGGAAGTTGGGCTGAAGCAAGGCGTTCCTCGGCTCGCGGACGCATCTCCGACATGATGCAGTACCTGGCCCTGAAGCAGTCAAGGGTCTGCAATTTCCACGTCAGAGATGCCAGCAGCCCGGCTGGGGCGCTTGAGGCATCAAAGCAAAGAGCGATAGTCCCAGATTCACGGTCACTCCAGCAGCGAAGCTGGGCGCCTCGCACATATTCCGAAAGAAGATCACGACGAAGTTACTCTGACCCGGCCTTGTTCTTCCTTGAGGCAAGCACCGCGTGGTCCCATGGCGGCTGCTTCGTAGGCCTCTCGCTGAGCCATGGCTTGGCCAGCCTGGCCGTGCTCTAGCCTTGCAGGACACGGGGCGTACACCTGAGCGGATCACTGAAGTCGCAGCAAGCCGCGAAGCCAGGAGCAAGGTGAGTGTTATTCGACAGGGTGCTCGCAATGTGCCCTCGCGGTTCCAGCTGCTCACTGGTGCAGCTTGCAGCCAGTGGACAATCACCAAGTAGTGTGTACCTCCAGCATGTACGAGAAGATGCCGCTCGAGAATTCAATGGCATATCATGACATGCTCAGATTTTCGTAGTACTGTGCACGCAAACCGATCCCACCTGCTTTCAGCTCGACCGGAAGTAGAACTTCACGCTGCGCACCGAATCCGGATGATGCAACATGTCGGCTTCCCTGGGTTTGACATGCAGACCTTATCAGCACAGGGCTTCCGTCGCCAGTGCGGGCCAAGAAGCGCTGTTCTCACCAAGTAATTACCAGTATAGCAGCTGCAGGCAAGGCACGTGGGAGATGCGGAATCCAGTGGCGATGTGATCCTCAGGTGCTTGCGTCCAGGCAGGCATGACAACATGCGCATGCACACACTTCGCAAACCGCGTCTGCCTCGACCGAGTGACTCAAGCACTTCGATACGAGCAGATGAGTACTTTCTGCGCTTGTTCCGGGTGAACAGCTCATCCGAGTCTTGCAACACGGAAATCACGACCTGCGCAAACTCGTGAGCAAGTGTCACTTTGTCGACTAGGCAACTTGGGGAGCCGACATGCAAGGGCTTCACGTCGCCCAGGTGTGTGCGTTCAGCGGCTGCGAGCAGCCGCAAAGTGGCAGAAACCTGCAGAAAAGTCACAAGCTTCCTTCAGCCTCCTGCGCATGCTCCCACGGACATGTCATACATCACTGCCGACCTGCGTTGGTGCTCCGCTCATGGTTTGCATGGGCTTGACAGGCAAGATGCTGGAGACATAGCCGGGACCTCATGCTACGGCTGTGCTCTGCATGCTACGCAGTGGCCTTTCATTCTAAGATCTACCTACTGCTTGTGCTCGTGGCAGATTACGGCGCATGCCTGTCTCTGGGAAAGCGGGGTGGATGCCCTTCTTGCCATCGTGTCGCGGTACTCGGAGACGCAAACGGTGGCGAACTCATCTATGAAGTCGGCCTAGGGCGAAGTTTGCACAGCAAGCCTCACAGTGTCACAGGACAGGCCCCACGGGGCATGCGCCAAACGCATCCAAAAGGTTCCCGGGTCAGTTTCTGTCACCGGGCCTTCGGGAGCATCCTGTGCGGAACCGAGACATGATCCCACGAATCCCACGGTTCACAAAGCGCAAGCCGGGCTCGCCTGCTGCTCCTGGGCGCCGCTCCGTTCGACACCTCGCCGAACCTGTGCATCGCGATTGCAGCGATCTCTGCTCCAGGCCCTGCCGAGATCAGGTGAGCAGCGACCTTCTCCCCCACGCAATCGAAGACGGCTGAGCTGAACGGCAGGCTGCCCTTCTTGGGCCTTATGTGCGCGAGGTTTTCGAGCATCGAACTTCACTATAAGCCGTGCCCCCTTGACTTTTCAGTCGACGGCGCAGGGCCCTTCCATCGTCCGGTCCTGATATCGTGACTCAAGACATGATGCAAGAGATGTTCGGGTTGTAGACACTGCCACATACTGCCACGACACAAGCACGTCTCAGGCCGATGCCCCCATGGGTTCCTCAATCGAACCCAGCGCCTGCACCAGCTCACGATCAGCCAGGACTGAAATTTTCATCCGCTGGCATCTACAGAATTTTGAGTTCTCCGGGTGGCTGGCTCTTTGCGGAACCAGCTTTTCCCATTGTCGGCAGCTACCTGCCAGCGGATCGCTGACACAGGGGTTTTGGTCGTTCCAAGCAACTGTATGTTTCGATCCCTTATCCTAGAAGCAGCGAGAAATTTGGCCATCTGGACCTCCATTGCCGCCAAGACAGTGTAGCCTGGTTGTCTTCAGACGCAAACAAGCCCGAAACAGCTCGTGAAGCTTGGCCACACCATGCTGTTTGCGGAAAAATGGCTTGCTTAATTGTACAGGAGATGCTACTGCATCATGATCGCTTCGGCTATGGACTGGCATACATTCACAAGCGAAGCGATTCGGAACCCTTCCAGAACCCCTGGAAGCCTGGACTGATCTGCCACCGCGAAGCAGTGTGCCCCGACCAATCCAGTTACTTCATCGACTTGATCCTCCTCCACGTGGACGATTGCTGATGAAAGCGCAGCCCGTTGTCTTTCGAATCTTGAGCTCCTAGACTTCCTCTGTACAATGTGCCATATGTGCCATGTAACAGCTGCTCCTCGTACTCGCTATCCTCATTTAACACGTTGTCAGTGACCTGCATCGTGAGCCGAGCCATGCTGCTAGATTGTGCGGCCGGGTCTTTTTGTGTCGACCTGCCTGCTGTGATCCGGATTTCCATGCGCCACCAATGTTCCATAGGCTTCCGAGAATCCCGCCTGCGGCGAACGAGACAGCTGATGCTAAACCAGCCCATGTAGCTGCTGCCTTCCTCTCCCTGCTGAACTTGGGGCTTCCTCTTCTTGCCCTGGCAGCTGGCCTTACCGTAAACGCAGTCAGCTGAGCCAGCTGCTCTGACCGGATTCGGAAAAGTGTCCTCGTCCTCATACTGAGGGTCTTGCACACATTGGCTGGCCTCGTCTTGCTGCGGTCTCCATTGCGGACCACACCTGCTCCTCGGGTCGAAGCGTCGAAGCTTCGCTGTCGCTGCCTCCACACTGCTACAATGCACCGAAGGCCTTGCCTGCGTGTCTTGCTCAGGACCTGCCATCACTCATGCTCGACAAGTCTCTTCTAGGCTCGTGCTGCGCGCAACCACAGCCATGTCAAGCCGGACTGCTATTCTTCCAAGACGATACTTGGTGCTGTCTCTCTCCAAGATCACTGGAGCAGGCAGTCGCAAAGTCAGAAGGTCGCGTTTTCCACCATAGAGAAGACCCTTCAGTCGGCGGACAGACTGGCGACCTTGCCGGGCGCCTGAAATCCAAGAACAGCGCCAAAGCGACAGCGATTCCGCTGCTGGCTCACCAGCGTGCTTGCATGTGTGCGGCGTGCGGGAATGCAGCCGCGTCGCAGACATGCACTTGCGCGCCGACTCGTGCACCATTCGAGAGAACTCTTGGTAAAACTCCATTGGGAGCTTCAAGTGGCCTTGGCACATACGATACTTCTGTCAGGCAGGACATGCACATGTTCTTAGGTGATGGGTGCCCCATTTGCAGCAGATTGGCGGTCGTAAGTGAGCAAACCATTGACTTCGGTTTCAACATCGTTCCACTGAGTGTAGATTGCAGCACCCAGCCCGTCGCCTGAGCTTCATCACTGTCTGCACTGCTCTGTTGGTCTGACTGCCTGACTGACTGACTGCAGTCCAAGAAAACAGCACCAAGAGAGCCCAAGTGGCAAATGCATGGAAGTAGTCGTAGAAGCAGCTTCTCCAGCGCAGTAGCATAAACTTCCTTGGCTCTGGCTCAGTTTTTTGGCGGCTGTTGAGCCGGCAAAGTCTCTCTGGGGACAAGTTTCCCGGTGACGGTTGACTTGCTTCTCCCCATATCCCCACGAATTGTAGGAAGACCAGCCATGGCCTTCCACTGCATATCCCAAGCCGCCATACTCACCTAGGGCTGGCACTCGACCTGACACAGCTCATGGCCCATGCTGGGCAAAACCTTGCAAGAGCACAGACATGCCTCGCCCATGTAGCTTTTTGTTCCTCGCTTCTTTGCAAGCGCTCGCCCGCAACCAGGAACTCTGACGGCTCATTACACGGAAGCAGATCGTGGCTTCAAGTGCCGCTGGCAGTGCATCATCATCCAAGAGGTCGCAAGAATACACATCTCACTCACCAGGAAGACCAAGAACACGCTGAGCCTGGCCGTGTCGAGGAAAGCCTCCCGAGCAGGAGCATGTGTGACTGTATGCACTGTATGCCTGTCCTGGTCGGGTTGTCTGCTGGCTGCACTTCGTGATGGGTCTGAGGACGTCTTCTTGACCCTGAGTCGATCCGGACAGCTGTGAGGGCCACGAGCTTGTTGACTCTTGCAGTCCAGCAATTCCAATCCAGTGCAAGGGCTCCTTGTTCTGCGAGTGCCGGAGTGTGCACGGACTGGGAAATCTTTTCAGACTGGATCCATCACAGTAAGATCTCCACCTGGACACAGCCAACTGCTGGCAGTCTAGCAGAGTCTAGCCTGCTTCTTTTACTGCCTGGTTTGGATAAAGAACTAGATCAAACTAGACTGTGCGGAGAGCAAGCACAGAGGCGCCTGGCTGTTTTGCTGCCCTCTTAGAGAGAAGGTGGTCTGCTCCACTTGCAGTGGCCGCACTCGCAAAGCGTCGAGTCGAAGCCGCCGTCCATCGTGTCGAAGCAACTTGTCGAGACGCTGTTGGGAAAGCCATGCCGACCAGGAGCTCGCTGAGCTCTCCTCAGAGTCGGCCTCCGTGTGATCGGTGTGCGGCATCTTCAAAGCTACGTCTACGCCTACGCGCGTCATGTGAAAAGGTGAGCCTTGAAGCTGTGCGACAGACGAGATTTGCGACAGCCGTTGGATTTCTTCCTTTTTGCGTTCTCACACCCAACTTGCAGCGGCATGCAGGCGGACCACAGGTGCAGCAAACTGCAGCATTGCCCGGCGCGGTGTTGTGCAATTCATTGAGCATGGGCATTGCAGGCAATGGCTCCTGTAAACTTGGCAACAATGAGTTGGGCAACCGCAGGATCGCAAGTGTTTGGTGGACAGCAGGGGATTCGCGGAGTAGACATGTGAGCGTTCAGCATCTACTGGAGCAGGAAAGCTTTTCAAGCCACTTCCGACACATTGGGCATATGATCGAAGTCTTCAACAGTGTATTTAGCCCGTTTGGTGTGCCGGCTCTGGCTACGGACAGGTGCGAAGCCACACAGGCAGGCCGCGCGTGGAAGCGACCATGCTTCAATTTTTGAGACAAAGACTTGCATCCCCATCCGTCTTGCAACTCCCAACCTGCCTTGGCATCGCCAGTGTCGGGCAACTGTCCGCTGCGCGATAGCTCTGTCTTTCCAGCAAGGGCATCGCGCAAGTAGCTCTCGAAGTTGCTGCAAGATAACTGCATGTCTATGCTCGCCACCAGCATCCTGGGGATGGCCCGGGGAGAAGCATGACAAGAACAAGCTTGTACAAGTTCAACGACACCAACATCACCACACAATGCCCTACAACACAGGTCGTGCCCCTTCAAGGTTGAACAGCCAGTGCCTGGTGTTGACCAGAGCTGCTGCAGGCATCGCAGCCAATGTGGAAAACAATGTTACTGCGAGGGCTCGATATCTGCGAGTTTTGCACTCATCGGCCAGAACCCGCCTGTTCTCTGAATCTTCAGATCTGAGCAACAGGACGGACTCGGGATGAGATGCTGCAAGTCCCAGCAGCACTAGCAACGCATCCAAATTCGCAGAAGCTGGCCTCAGCAAGGAATTCACAAGTCGTGCCTACAACCGAAATCTTGGAACCGTCCAAGCACACCCTCAACTGCACTGCACATAACTGCTGCACGAAGCCTCATGAATAGATAGCCGTGGGGAGCTCTGCCAGGCCAACCTTTAGAATCAAAAAGCTCCTGTAGGCTTTCGATGGTCTCTGGCTCAGCACGTGCGAGGATCTCCTCCCTTGCAGGGATCTGCCTCGAAACGACTGGCCGCCGATGAAGGGTCGTGTGATAGTAGGCGTAAATCAGCGAGTATGCAGCCTTGGGCTCCAACGCAAAGGCGCCCTCGCCTTCAAGCCTTCCAAGCATCCTTTTGCATAAGTCGGGTATAGTATCCAGATTGAAAGAAGTGCTGCCAGCATAAATCCACTGAGGCGCAAAACTAGCAGCCAAAACATGGAGTGGTATCTGCTCAGAGCTGCTTGTCATTGGTGGCTCCAGAGACTGTACGGTGCGCGGTATGTTCGGAACACGTCTAATCCAGTCTTTCCGGGGTTTCCCTGCAGCACTTGCAGCACTGCTGCTTTCCGAATCAGGGACCCGGAGAAACACCACATCCGCATCGACACCAACACCTGCATCTTGCTCGGAACCTGCATAATAGAACTTCAAGTCACGGACCAGACGAGCATGCCTGACAGGATGGGCTGGAAGACCTTGATCCACCAAATCTTTTACCAGACTGACTGCTCGAATCCACTCGTCTTTCCAAAGCGCGGCATCAATTAGCAAATAATACGCCTTGGTCCAGTGCCTCTTATTTGTCAACTCCTGCCGCGCGGCTTCTCGACCCGCCTGTGTTACGGAAGCGTCCGTAGATATCCTTCGAAGGCGATCTCTGAATTCCTGAAAGGGGGCCTGCATGTCCAAAGCAGATATCCAATCGCCAGCGACGACATAGCCTTCCAGCAGAATGCGAAACGACATTGCGTTCGGCTCCATGCCGGCTTCTCTGATGCTCTCAAAGGTCTGCAGGGCCGTCTCCATGTCACCTCTTCTGCACTGTATGCCCATCATGACGTTGTAGGCATAGAGGCTGGCATACTGTGCACCCATGGAAACTAGGCGCTGAAACACGCGCACAGAATCTTCGTAGAAACCTGTTTGGGCAAGGCCCACGAATACCGCAATGTAGTGCTTTGCCCGAGGTCTCACACCATCATTTCGCATCCCAGTAAGAAGCCGGACAGCTAGCTCTGCTTGCTCTGAACCCACCATCGCACAAAGCAGGTATTGGTATGTGAACCGATCCCAGAAAATTCCGGCTTCTCGCATTCTGTTTGCAACCTGGAGTGCCATGGTCAGCTGCCCAGTGTCGCTGTATGCTTTGATGAGGGCATTGTAGTTTATCGTGTCCGGTGTCACTTCCATCACTTCCATCAGCCGTAGCAACTGCCGAATCTCGATGGCTGCATCCGGATGCCCCCAGCAGGCCTGCTGCAAAATGCCGAAGGAGACAGACGTAGGTTGAATGCCATGCTGCTGCATTACTCCAAGAACCGCGAAGCCATCTCGCAACCGTCCCATGCTCCGATAGGCTGCCAGCAATGTGTTGTACAGGGCAACTGATTGGTACCTGATGCTTTGCAAAGCAGTCGTCCGACTCCACAGTCAGGTCACTTATGTAAAGTAATAGGAAACACGAAGCAAGCATGCAGCCTCCTCCTCAGGAAGCCTTCTGCAGAGACCCCATGCCTACACTCAGAAGCGACGTGGTATGCCACCATAGCACTATGAATCATTGAATGGCAGAATGAAAAAACTATCAAAGGAAGCTGTAGTAAAAGTTGCGGAAATTCTTGCAGTAGCTCTACACTGGGCTCGAAGGAACGTTCAGATTTGGCAAGGGCTGCAGGGAGAAGGTGCTTGTTAAGCCATAATCATAGCACGAGCTAGAAGTGAGTGTAGTTGTGCCGTGAAAACTCAGTGGCTCGTGGTACAGGTGGTGCATCATTGACCGCAGCGATAGTAGAAACAGTCATCCCAGCTAGTCCGCGTTGTCGCGGCACTCGTCGTTGCAAGAGTGATGATTGAACGGACACAGTGTGTTGAATCGAGACCGAGGTGCTCATCCAGGAATCTGGAGGTCTTCCAACTTCTCGACAACATTTCCCCCTTTCGCACGAGAGTCTTGGCCATGTCAATGTTTGAGTTGGAATGCACCGCGGCCAGCACCAAATAGATGACTGGGTCTGTAGGCAGCAGGAAGGCAGCTGACCTGGACAAGAGTCGTCTAGCAGCCCGTTCACCCTCACTGGCTGCAACGGCTTGGACAAGGATGCAGTAGGCTGCATTCGTTGGCTCGGGAAGCCTCGGATCGGCACCCTCCTCCATGTCAGCAAGGAGCTTGAAGGCCTCATCCGGAAATTCCCCTGCTTCAAGAGCGTGCAAAGCCAAGGCATAGAGCACCGCTTCCCATGTTGCATAAGTCGCACATTGCTCTCGAAGCCAAGGCTCCACCAAGTGATACAGCTGGACACTGAAAAGCGGTGGCACATCACGCAGCCGACACGCTCTGAGAACCCGGGTGAAAAAGACACAGGGACGCCGAACACATTCGTAGGCAAGCATCTCAACCAGATCTGCAGTGTCGCTGCTCCCGACGGACACTACGATGCGAGCAATCATGTCATAGTCGCATGTGCAGCAAACTCGACGCAGTTTGGCATGCCAACTTGCACTGGTGCGAAGAGGAGATTCCGCTTCTTTTTGTGGCGTCTCCACAGCTGGGTTGGAAGCCAGAACTGCATCATCTGCAGCTCGCCGCTGTGGTTCCCGCCTACCACGGGTTCGAGTCTTTCTCTGAGAGGCGGCAAGAGCCAGAAGGCTTCCGCCCCACTGCCGAGCTGCCCTTGGCACTGCTTCGTTGCACGTCGTGGCCACATGCTTCGAATGCTTCGCCGACGGGTGCCAGTGTGCACATGGCCGGAAGCCGACAGCGGAAGCTTGGGAGAGCATGCCAAGCATGCCAAGCCCCTTCTCACTGTCACAAGTGATGGAGCATGCTGTTAGGCTGTTGGGTCATAGCTTGCTTGGGCCGTCTGCAGTGCGGAAAACAAACATGCAATATGCTGTTGCTGTTGTGCTTAAGGCACATTCACGCTCTGCAAAGTCGTGGACTGAAGCAGGGGATGTCTGCCTCCAACAGTGTAGCCCCAGGCGGCAAAGTTCTGGAAGCTCACTGCAAGTGGCCCGAAGATTGACGAGTTGTCTTCCTCTGCACGGAAAAACTTTACTTCGCAGGCGGGCCGCCTGGAACATGCGAGGGTGTCTTGATGCAGTCCCATCTTCCCTCTATGGAAGCACTGAGTCTTGTGGCTTGACTGTCGAGGAACGTAGTTGTGCAGATCTGCGAAGTCGCCCAACGGGCCACCTTCGACTTCATTCCATCCGCTATTGGCCTGTAAACAGCACGCCCGCAGCCAGACAATTTGTGAGAGGACGAGCCAAAAACAAGCGAACCTGACAGTCTTGCGACCAAGATGCATCGATCAGCCGACTTGGGTCAAGGTCCCTCAGAAATTGCACCAACGCCTGCATCAACTAAATTGGGCACAACTCTCCGCGTGCCACGCACGTGCCTTCGTGTTAGATTGTCCCCAGCCCTCGTTGAAGAGCACCCAGACAGCTACAGAAGCGAAGTGCGACAAAGCTCCCACCATGGCCTGCTCACAGCTGACAGAAAGTGGCCGGGCTGTGAACCTCTCGGATGTCTCCCGTAGTTGTAGCATGTCGTTGCAGTAGACACTACATTATCCACTGCAACCTTGCAGAGGCAAAACTGATGAGGCAAGCATGACAGGTCCTGCAGCTCAGCTTCAAAGGCTCTTCGACTGTCGTGTGACCGCCGAATCTCATCAAAAAGCGTCCGCGGAACGGGAACCTGCAACCTCGAGCTTTCATGACATGTCTCAAAATCACAGCACGCCCTCGCCGTGCTCAATGCGCGATCTGGCCTCTGCGCTTCTGTGCCGATCCTGGAAACAGGCAAAGGGTTTAGTCAGTGTAGTCTGCCCAGATTCCAGCTTCACAAAAAACACTCCTCAGCCGAGTGTCTCTTCCTCGGCGACAGCACGTCCTTCTGACCACGTTGGCATCGCACGCATGTCACCTGCTGGCATGTCCTGGGAAGCGAGTGCCGAACGCATGCAGGGCCTAATGCTGTGGGCCCTAAGCACCTGCCATACGAGCAGGCCGAGCTTGTCGCACTCATCGTAGAAAGCTTCCCCCATGACCACAGCGTGCACCCGAACCGTGTTGAAGCCTGCTGCCTCAAAATCAAAAGCGTGAAATGTCGTTTGTGGCCATTGGAATGTGATCTCTCTGGAAACAACTGTTGCCTTGACTTCAGTGGAAGGCTGCTATGAGCCCGGGCCTTGACCATCTCGAGGTCACGGCTGATGGCTCCCGAGTCCGGCGGGGTGAGCAACGACTCCGGCCAGTAGCCCTCAGCAGCAGCATTTGCAACTCGCATGACAAACTTTCATCCCTGCCTGATACAGCACCCCATGCACAAATAGGACCTGGCAGGATGGTGCATCATGTTGCATCGATACCTCACGGATCCACCACGATCCACCGCGGGTTCGTGTTGGGATTGGCTCGCCGCAACTTCGCAAACAACCACGTTTTTCGACCAGTGCCTCGTACGAGAAGACCTCCCCACCCCCTTCGCCCCCCCTCCGCAAAACAAAACAAAACAAAACAGAACAAACAAACACACACACACACACAACCAATCGTACGGAATCGCAAAAGATCCGTGCTTTGCTGTTATTTGTCTGCTTCGAGGTTGGTGCTTGAGTTCGGGTATGCTCCAAGCATGGTTTGCAACATCTGCGGATAAGGAATGAGTGACTGCCTGAGAATCTGTGATGTCGGCATGTCTGCCCTTGAAGAAAGATGCAGTTGGGGTTTGCAGCGCTACTCACATCACACCCCCACTCACACTGCCACAAGTCACGCATCGTGCCCGCTTACGCGGGCAACAACGGTTAGTGAAGCAACTGGATGTCCCAAGCCGGTGAACACAAGATGCCTGTTTCGTGCGCTTGTACCCACCAACCTCGGGTACGAGAAAGACATATGCAAGCTTCGTTTACCATGCAATCGAACTTGGTACAAGTAGGGTTTCATGCGCTAACATGCTCTTGACTACGACGAAGTCTACTGGCCGACGAACCGAAAAGTGGGCTGACGCGTCTCAAGTTTTTGAGCTTGTGAGGTCGAAACTTGACATCCTCCCATATCCTCCTTTGCCCTCCCGTCATTTGGAATGAAAGATCGCCAGGCCTGATCATTGAGCAGAAAGCGACCATCTTTGACTGCAACAAATCGCCGTGCGAAGCGTCGAATCACAGTGTCGACGTCCGCGTCGGCACCCAGCGATAAGTGAGCTTCGTATCGTTGGGGCTCCTGGCTTTGCAGTGGCGCAGCTCGGCTTCGGGCAGTACAAGGCTATGCAGCTAAAGAGTCCATGCTTGTTTGAGGATTGTTTCACGAATTCCGTATATCCTCGGGTGACCAAAGCTGCAATGGCTGTTCGAGCTCCGCGTGCCTCAGGTGTGTGGAGTTCTTGCAAGTCAAGCGAAACAGTAGCCAGATCTGGCAACATGCATGCGATCGTTCGGTGTGTGCCAGCACGTGACTGAGGCAGCCTTCTGAACTGCAGCATCTGGAATTGTGGCAGGCAAACTAAGCATTGTCGTTCCTCCTCAAGCAAACGCTGCAATGTGCCGCTAGACAAAAACCTGGAGGGTCCTGGTATCAAATCTGCCGATAGTGCAATTTCGAAGTTTTGTGAGCTGACGCAAGCGGCCATGAGGGCGATGCCATGCCTTTGCCGATTTACGAGAGCGAAGGGGTTCAATTTGCAGCCCAATCGCAGCTCACAGCACGGGCCGCGGGCAACTCCAAGGAGGTTTTTGCCCTCCAGATCGTGCACCTCAAAAAGCTGCGCAGAAGAATTGGCTCTCAAATGTTCTGTGCCATTGCTTCTTCCGACGGCGACCTCCAAGTAAAGCTGCTTCTCACATGTCGCTTCCGCGGCGACCTGTCAGCAAAGCACCAGGAGAGCGACAACGGTGACCCTGCTGACCCCATAGTCCCGCAAGCCAAGCCGCAGTAAGCTTGCGAGGCGCATCCTTGTATACCTGTGCCGAGTGCGGGGAAGGGCTCACTGTTTGCAGCACAGTCAGGCACAGCGCGGTGATGTAACATGCAGGGCCGCCCTGATATGCAGATTCCGGATGTGGCAGCCAGGAAGGTGCTCCAGAAAAATGCCTTGCCGCCAAATGCCGGTCACCGCTGTGTACCTTCACAGAGTGAACTAGTTCGGTGCCTGAGGGTTCGTCCCTCGCCAACTCAGCAAGGGCACATGATGGAACCAGGCTTCAGTGCTTGCTTGCCTCGTGGCTGCCAGCCACTCTCGCAGCAACTCTCACCTTGCAGTCATGCTCTCTGTCTCTTTCGAAGATGCACAAGAGTTCATATCTGTCAAGCAAGTGGCAAGGTATCGGAGGGTGGTCTGTGAATGGGCAGCCCTCATCCGTCGGGTCCCAAGCCCGGACCTTTGCAAACACTTTTTTATGAAGTCAAAAAAGCAAAATCGATCCTTGGGCCGCTTGGGCCTCGGCCAGCAGTGTTTTGACCTCAGGGGTGCCCTTGTTGGAGCAAGCGGACAGCGTGGGAATCTCCAGGCGGAAAGCGTCGTAGCCGCCCCGGTGGATCCCAAGTCGCTGAGAGTCCAAGTAGACCGCCTGGAGCTTTCAAAGGCGTGCCCCAAAACACAGGGCCACGTGACGCATAGTGACTCCTGCTTGCTTGCTTGCTTGCTTGAGGTGTCGAGCTGCGCATTCCCAGTCGCAAGCATCCACTTGAAGCCAAATTGTTCCCCCCACACCAGCGCACCAGCTCGCGGGCACATGCAGCATCCGGCGGTACCAGACCGCCTCCGACGCAGAAACCTTCGTGGCCAAACCTGCAATCTGGGTCAAGGCCATTTCCTGAAGAAACAGCCACTGGCGACATGTTCACCCGGCCTTTGTGAGACTGCGGTGCAAAGGGCACTTCGATTGTTCGCCAAGCTCCTTCAACCAAGTCTTGCAGTCTGGCCTCGGTCAGGCCCCCGTCGCACCGAAACATGGTTAAGGCTTAATTCTGCGACCGACGTCCATAAAATCATGGAACATCTCTTCGGAGCTGCGAGTTACCCTAACTTAGCAACGTCAGTGTCACTGCAACATGCCTTCCACTTGCAGTCGGGATACGGTGTCTGTTGTAATTTGGACTTCCCACAGACCATTCAAAGAAATGTGTTGCGCGACTGTTCGACGCAGCTGCGGCGCCCAATGCGGGGTCTGGTCAGGGCTTACAAAACCGAAGCAGTCGATGGTGGTTTCTTGCATCGTGATCTACGTCTTCAAGGGAGAAAGGATCACTCATGACTCATGACCTTTAAGAATTTTTTGTCTGTCAAGGGACAGGTGATTCGAATGGGCTCGACGTGTGTAAACTGATAAGAGCTGACTGCGCACCCAGGATCAAGCCCGCGACCGGAGTTTCTGTACTTGGCTTGGGGTGAGAGTCTCTCTTCTTCTTCTTCTTCCACCAGGGTTGTGGTGGGGAGTTGTCTCCCCACTGCGCGACTGCGCCCCAGGGATTTCCCGCCTCACTGCGCGCGTGTGCACACCCCACTGCTGCGGGTGCCAAGATGTTGCAAGCACGCACTCAAAAGCAAGTTTACAAACCAAAAAAGGAAGGTGCAACACCCCGACACGCGGGACCCAAGTATATCAATAAAGCAAACAAGATGAGCTGATGCTTTTGCAGCGCGATTGGAACTGCGAACTTCTTGCATGGAAAGCGCACACGAAGGCAAGTTGGCAGTGGACTGCGATCGAACAACAAGAACAACAAACAGCCATGAAACAAATAATCCGCACTCCTTCAGCAGCCCAACTAACCAAAAGCTTTCAATGTGTCTGGGGTTGTGGGTAAGCTGAACGAAACGTACTGGCCCATGAATTAAGAGCAACTGTGCTGTAGGTACAGGGCCCCAGGTAGGGGGCAAGCTTCGGGGAATATGGAGGCTCCAGCGGCCCATCTGAATTAGAGTACAGAGGATAGATAGGAGGTTTCACCCCTGTCGGTGCCCAGCACGGTTGGAGCGATCTTGCCCCCCCCGTTGCGGTCTCATCGTCCTCTGCGACAGAAGCGGCTTTGTGTATTCCTCTGAGCGTTGTTGTAGTTGTAGTGGCGGTGGTGGAGGCGGCGTTGTTCTAGTTGGTCGACTAGGAGGCTGGAGGTGGTCGTCATCGAGTGGTCATCGTCAAAGATATCGACGGTGCAGTCCACTTTGAAGGGGAAAGTCCCCTGGATCATCTGGGTTTGGTTGACTTTGGCATCGGTCGGCAGCCCTTTCCTCGACATAGTTGCTGGAGGAACCAAATTCCCTCGGGCTGGAGCATCTTCTTGGCAATCTGGGGTGGCTCTGGGTCATGACTTCCCAGTTGGTGAGCGGCCTCGAAGTGGACGAAGTCAGAGGTGGAAGCCACCTGTGAAGCACCCTCGAGATGACCCTCAGGAGCGTAACGAAGTGGGCCACTGTCTAGACCTTGGCTGGCATCAACGTCCCCCTACACGAGCTCACTTTCTTGTTCGGGCTCTTGTTGCGGTGCTGCAGGAAGTGGCGTGGGAAGCAGTATAGGAGGCCGCGCAGTTGGCGGAACAGCCCGAGCTGTGCCAGCTTCTTCTGGGGTGAGCCCCCGTATGACTGTCGGTCGACGAGTGGACGAAAAGGCCGTAGCCGTAGTAGCAGGAGAACAGGTGGTCGTCGAAGAAGTCGATGCTGTTGTCATAGGTGGAACTAGCGCTGCAGGGGGCTTGCGAAAGCTCTGACCGGGTCTTCAAGTGGAGGCCTATCGGGTAGGCCCCCGCTGCTGCGGCCGGAATCAGGCCCCAAGGCCGCGAAAGACTCCAACATCGGGTCGTCATCCGTAAGCTCAGCACAGATGTTCGTGCAGGGGGGCTCCCCGCTCGGCTGCCCGGTGCTAGTTGCAGCGTCTGGTTTCTGTTCTCTGCGACGTCGTCTTCGGCTTCGGGCACGGCGACGTTCACGGTCACGGCCACGGTCGAGGTCCTTTGTGCGTCGCCTGGGCAACTCTTTGCTGCCGTCATTGTCATCCTCGTTTGGGGGGCTCTCTGCTGGGGTCGCCCCCGCTAGACATGGCTGCACTCCAGTCGTAGGGTGAGGAGTTTATTCTCAGTCGGGTTACCAGAGTCACGAACACGACCTATTCAAAGCCGTGGATCGAGGTACTTCCCCCGCAGAATCGCTGCGTGCTGGTAGAGGTTGAGTAGGCTCCCCGATTGCGATGGGGTAGTGGTTCTCAAACTCCCCGAGGTGCAGGCGGCAGCGGCTCCCGTACTGAAGTGTTGCACAACTAGGTCCCCCACCGAAGCGAGGAGGATGTTCAGCACAGTCAAGCCCGTCTTGATCGACAGCAATCGCGGCGGAAGAGAAAGGGGACGAGAGAGACAAGCGCCCGGGTTGTGAGGGAGTGGTCTTGACCCAAAATGACTTGAGCCAAAATGGCTACTATCTCTCTTCGCTCTCGTTCTTTCTTCCTTTCGACCGGGCATAGGCACTCTCTTTCTCTCTTGCTTGCGTGCTTGCTTGCTTGCTTGCTTGCTTGCTTGCTTGCTTGCTTGCTTGCTTGCTTGCTTGCTTGGGGTTGGGAAGATTTCTCTCTCCCTTTCTCTTTCTCTCTCACTTCGGGGTTCAGGAGGCTTGTC